GGGGGGCAGGGGACATATGCAAGAGAGCTCGCCTGGGTGGTGTGGTACAAGTCCTAGTGCAGTGCACCCTCCCATCTGGCCCTCCAGTGCTCTTGGTGGGGCTAAGCTCCAGCAACTCCTACCCAAGGCAGCTTGCACTGTGTTCCTGCTCACACCTGTCCCATGCCTCCTAAAGACACTGCTCCGGCTCTGGCCCAGCCAGTGCACACAGCTTCCCAGTGGGGCTGTCCTCCACCTACTTGGCTGCCCATAGGTGGCTGCACATCAAGCCAATCAAGACAGCTCTAACGTGCTGTAACTGCAGCACATCAAAGCAGGCATCCTGCACATCTACTGGCACCCTTACTGAATAGTAGTCAATATGGAAAAATAAGCCAACACAGAAAAACAGTACATGTTGTCTGAAAAAGAAAATTGTTTTCTGCTAGTGGGATCCACATCTATGGTAAAAAAGTATATGTATGTATATATTTCATGCTGCTCAAAGATTGATGTGTATATATACTGAAAAATACCCCATCACTTTTCCCTATCTTAATATTAAATTCTGGAAGAATTCTTAATCCGCTTAAGGTTTATACTTTAATACTTCAAGGCTTATGAACATTTTTGGGCTGATTAAATGGTGCTGATTTGTTCCAAACACTATCATCCTGGTAAATTTTTAATACAAAGATACTATTTCAACTTAGTAAATGTAATTAAAGGGGAAAATCTGGCTTTTAATCTCGACAGTGTTTTGAAACCTACTTATAAAAAGTTCTATATAAGATCTTTATTATTACTATTATCAATACAGGAAAAAACAAGCATTCTTTTCTCAAGTCAAATTATAAATGAAAATTAACAATAATTATGTCAGTTTTTTATTCTGTTCCTTCTAGTGTCTTTTTTTCTTCCTTGAAATGGAGGATTACAAGTAGATAAAGCCAGGACTGTATGTTGCTCATCTACCTCCAACTAGACACATAACCTAAATGGATTCATGATTCACTGTGGCTGTGTACACACATTCAAATAATCTGGGAGAATTCTCCTGGGTTTATTCTCCTATGTACCACGGAGACAGTCTCCTGCAGCCGGTAAAGAGAACACCTGACCTGAAGAGCAGGACCTCAGGGGATATAAGTCTGGGCTCCTGAGGCAGAGAGACCAGTGCAGCCCTAAACTCTGTGAGGAGGAAAGTTTCTGTTAGCTCAGGCAGGTAAGAAATGGAAGCTGTAGGCCAGGTCAGGTATACCAGGGTTCAGAGGGGGCCAATGAGTGGGGAAGAGGCCTCTGCAGTGGCATGGTGACCCAGAGGGAGCTTTGAATGTTTTATTTAAAGCAGCTTGCTTACATTGTTTGTTTCAGTTTTACTGGACAACTGACTTGTGGCTGTTGGGATGGTTAGGAGGCCAAGCAGGGGGACCTGAAAGGCATTCCAGGTTTGGCTCTACTAGTGGCAGGGACATGACAGAGAGTGAGAATGAGAGAGATGTATGCTGTACCCAGAGGGCCAGAGCCAGAGCCAAGAGCTGGCAATATGGGTGGGCTGCAGCCGAGCGAGCTGGAGCCAAGAGAGTGTGACATGGGCAGCTGTGGCTGACAAGAGGTCAAGACTGAGAGGCCAGGCCAAAGCAAGTAAGCCTATAGGGGAGCTGGAGGTGATGATTAGAGCCCTTAAGGTTGAATTAAAGTCACTAGGGTCATAAGCTGTGACCACAACGTTTGAGTAGTACCAGGAGGACACAAGAAGTTCCAAGTAAGCAAGTGAGCCACCCACAGGAAACAGATGAGGTTCTGTTAGCCGATGGAGGGCCCAGAGACCAGAGTTTAGTTGAGTTGGTTAGGGACCAGGGGATTGGCTAGGCAGCCTCATCAGTATAGAAAGAACATCAAGGCATGGCAAGAAAGATTAAAAGAGGGTATATGGAGGACCTGGAGTACAGACAGGATTAGGGTGACCCCTAGTGGGTGCCATGGCTGCCTTCAGGGCCCATCCTTTCACATCTTGGTAGAAAAACTTACCTGGAGACTCCTGAACAGACATTTAAGTGCTGAGCCCCTGAAGAAAAGAGAGCTTGCAGTGCTGATGCTCTGCAGCCAGCTCCCTCAGTCTGCCTGGTGACAAATGGGAGCAGTGCACAGGGCTGCCCTGATTGGCTGACCCAGACTGCAGAGTAAGCCTGTGTCTCCCTGTAGTGCAACATGGGATTCTGAGGAGGGGGGCGCGTTCTGTTCCCTGCTTGGTTGAAGCAGTGAAGTTCAGTCTGAATGAAACACTGTCTCTGGAAGTAAGAAGGGGGAGCAAAGCACCCTGAGATGCTGGAGGATTCTGTTGTGGCTTCTCTCAGAAAGGTAACTCGTACAGACATTTGTCTTCCAAGAGTGGTTTACCACTGGTTGTTCTGTGGTTATTTTTTTCTTAGAGCAACCATTTTGTCATATTGAATGAAATAGTTTCAATGTTTGTAAAGGTTGCCCATTAGCCAGTTTCAGGAAGAAGATAGGATTTATCTCCTTATCTAAGTCATTGTTTTGGGAACTACGTGCAAAATGTCCTGACTTCGTTTAAAGTCTTAATTTAAATTTTATCTTTAGAAGTCTTTTACAAAGAGAGCAAATATCCTGAGTTCCGAGACATCAAAGCCTAAGGCCTTTTAACTAGACTGGTAAGAAAAAGGCATTTGCAGTGATATGGAAGTCTCCCCAAGAGTAATTTAAAATGCTCAACAAAGGCAAAAGAATCTGTTGAGTAAGATCCTTTGGAGGTGACCACTTGCAGAACAACGAAGGAAGAATCGCAAGCGTAGCCCGGATCAGACTGATCACCTGACCCAACCTCTCCGTGAACACGAATCTCTTAGTTCACGCTGAAGCCATGGAGCACCTGAAAGGGACTGAAGGAAGGGGACTTAGTCCTATCACTGCTGAGGCCAGCCTACTGAATCGTATTGCTGAGGCGAGCCCATTGAACCGTACTACTGAGGCCAACCCATTAAATTGTACTACTGAGGAATGAAACCATATTTTGGTATTTGGCTTCTCGGAATTCTAGGATTGTAAGTATATTATGAAAAATAATAGTATTGATTCAAATTTAACTTTTAGTTGTAATTGTAGTTGTTTTTGTAACACTAATTCTTATAGCATTGTTTGGGAAGGAAGTGCATTCGGAGCATTGTTTCTGATATATGTAATTATTGTGTTCTTAATGTTTGTGGTGTTTCTTAAAGCTAAGCAGTGTTATATACGTAGTAAAGAATTTTAAAATAAAATTGTGTTGTATGAATTAAGTGTGTAATCACTGTGAAATCGTGCAATCAGCTAACTACTCCCCCAGCCAGTGCATCAAAACGAATCAGTAAATTGTGTGGGATTTTCTCTATTCCATAACCCACTAGAGAGACATTTTTACTCTGGGAGAAAAATTTTGAACATCTGTACATTCATGGTTCTCCTGAGAGCAATGATTCTCCCAAGAGAAACTGAATGTCTGTAAATGGCCTTTGAGTGGAATTATACACATGTTATGTTCTAAAACCATAACTTCCATTGAAAGCACCTTACTTTCTCTCTCTTTCTTTTCACCAGAATCTTATTTCAAGCAGTAAGTGCTCCCATTCACTGTCCCAGTTGGGAAGTTTGTTCCTGACCAAGTATCTTACATGTTGGGAGTGCAATGTGTTACATAAATCTGCGTACAAGCATTTCTCATAATGAGCTAGCTTAAATCTGAAAACAGTCTAGACAATCCACTGAATAAACTAGGTAAAAACTTAGGTGATTAGCCTATGCTAAACATGGTGCTGCTACAGATAGCCTGGGTATTGGTAGCAGTTATCTAGTTTAAAAGTACCTCAAGTATGTCTACACTGCATTACAGTCAGCGGTTGTATTACAGTAACTATAATTGCTTTGGTTGCTTATATTGTTATTTTTCTTTTTATATAATGAAATATTTAACCATTAAGATAAAGTTAGTCTTGTTATGATTTACTTTTTATAATAATTTGATCAGTCATTATTAGTGTTCTGGAATTAACCATCTATTTTAAATTTCTTATTGCTTAGCATAAATATATTGGACATATTGGTCTCATGATTTTAGACTTATTTGACCTATTGATCTCATGATTTTTAGAACTTAAATTTAGTATAAGGAAAATGCTTATGCAAGATTTGTGCTATGTCTGGCGTATGTGGAAAGAGGTAACGAAAGAGTGAATGATGTATGCGTGTGACAACGTGAAAGAAGACAGTCCTCTTGCAGCAGGTGAAAATAGCCTTCTGTGGTTTAACAGTTAAAGGCTGCAGCGACGCCAAGTCAGCAGTTAAGGATTACCAAATACTAGATCATGCTTCACCCTGATGGCTGAAGACTGCAAGCAACGACCCCCCTGAAGATTGCAGACCACAAAGCCAGAAGATCATGTCCTACCAATCCCAGCCTGCCAACAGGACAAGGAGGATGACCTTTGCATCTGACTCAGTGGAATCCATAGGATTGTATGGACACCTATCACTATAAAGAATGAACACAGAGACAAGGTTCTGGGTCTTTTCCACCTGCAAAAAGGACTTTTGGGCACGTCCAACTAGACCTGACTCCATCACTCATGGTCAGTCTGGCCAGCCACCAGACTGACCTGAGCAACATTAGAACTTGGTAACACCTTAACCTTTGCAGGACTGTCTAACTATCTGTGTGTGTGTGCTTGTTTCTTTTGTATGAATGAATGGATGAATATGTATGGGAATGAGTGAAGCAAATAACCTTACGGTTCTTTTTTCTTTTCATGTTGCATGGTTTATGTTTTATGTTGCAATAAATGTGGGGTTGTGCCTTAAACCCTGATAAGATTCTGGCTTGTTTTTAATTCACACTGTATGCCCTGTTCACACAACACAGTGAAGATATCACCACACATGTTGAATGCAGCATAGACATGCCTGAAAAAGAAACCTAATAAAGACTAAGTGATTAATGAAAGTCAGTGATATTAAAGACAAAATACCTTTTAACTGATCTTCAGTCTTCTGTTGATCAAATGAAACAACTGCATCTGAAGTAAATGTAAGATCTTCTTCAAATGCTTCCACCTGCTGTCCATTTAAGAAAATGTTGATCTGAAAAAATATACCCATTTTTAATGTTTTAATCACACAACTAGAAATCCAGTGTTAAATATGTAAATTAAACTAAGTGTCATGAAGAATGTGAATTAAAATATGTGCCATATTTCACATCAAAATCTATACATCAAAGCTTTCCTCTCCTCTTTTTAAATAAAACTTGTCAAAAAATTCTAAACTACTCTGATTCTCTACTCCTAAAACCCCATGTGTAGCTGTGGCAGGGCACTGTTGGTGCCTGCCACTTTAAGGGCCAGAGCAGGCAGCAGCCAGGTGCTGGATTGCGGCAGCCATTTTAGAGAGCAGGCTATAACTAGGGTGAAACAGCAGTTTGCTGCTAGTAGCCGTGAGTGAGACATCAGCTGGTGGAGCTGAGGAACAGGAACAAGTTGGAGGTCTATGGGCTGGGGCTATAGGGATGGAGGAGGCTCCAGGTCATGGGCATGACCTAAAACTGCCCCCTGCCAGTAAAGAGAGGCCTGGTGGGACTGCTGGTGGTGTGGGAGCCCCATAAAATGCCAGGCTAGTTATCTCCCTGGTGAAAGGTGGGTCAGGGGTGCCTAATAACTTCCAGCCCCTGCACATTCCTATCTGGGTAATGTCCAGGCTTTTGAGAGCTTAGAAAGGCCTGTGGCTCAGTTGCTAGTGGAGTTGTGAGGGTAAAAGTAGACAAGCAGCTCAGGCTTACCCTGAGGTACTCAACTGGTCCATGCTGGGGCCAGGACCCAGACAGGGGTCAAAAGGGCCAGGGGCCCACCGCGAGGGATGCCCACAGAGCAAAGAGGCTCAGGGTCCCAACTGGTCTGAAATGGGGCCAGGGCCTAAGGGGGAGCCGAAGGTCCCAGAGAGGGGACCACAGCTAATGGGCTAAGGGAACGGCTGAGTTTAGCTGCCTGGGATGCCATCTGCAAGGCTTGGGCTTCAGTGTAAGTGTGAAACGGAGCTGTGGATATTCCCCTGAACAGTGGGGTTCAAAATGGGCAGCCTCCCACCTAATGAACATCTTAATCATTTTCCATCAAGGTGTGACAGGCGAGAGGCAGGCAGTTAGCCCAGAAACAGGTGGTAGCGCAGACAAACTTCTAACGGGCCCTGGGAAGGCCCCCTGTTACAGTAGCCTACTGTGTATGCTCAGTCTATGTACACATGCATACATGTTTTCTGACTAAAGGAATACCAGAATCACAACCTGTGTGTAAGTGCCAAAAAGGCTACTTACATGGCTAGAAAACTTCTATTTAGGTGCACAGTGTAAAGGACAGAATTCCTTTATGTGTTTTTCAATGGAAACTATATTAACACTTAATTACTAGAAATGCCATAAATATAAGTGAGAATCAAGCAGATCCTATAGTAGATATTTAAAATCTTCCAAACATCTGCAGAGGTTTGTGCCTCTAATTGCAATGTGCAAAGAAGATTCAACAACTGCCTGGAAGTTCTCATAAAATGCAAATGATCTCTAACTACTGAGACTACTCTGTTTACATGGGCAGTTACTCGTTTGTAATCTTCAAATTATACAATTTTGATTGTTAATCAATTGTTAACTGCTGGATGATAGAGGAGGAATGGGAAAATCATTTTTCCAAGGCTTTAGTCCTTTTTAGATAAAGTAAGAAGGCATCTTACATTTTTCTTTATAAGTAAAGTAACAAAAAGGAAGGTAAACTATACTTCTTGAACACCTCAGAAAGAGTGCTGATTCTAAGGATGAATCCTGGATCTAGATATAGCACTATTTAATATTAAATACTGCAGTAATGAGATTCCATAGTTCATCTTTTTAGTGTAGAGAATGAGATGACCTCTACTTTACAGAGTGGGGGAAGACAAGTATGAGTTACAAATGATGTTTTCATGGGAGCAGCTAGGAATAAGTTTGATCAATGGGCTACTCTCAAAATTTATGCATTAAAGGGTACTACAATTATTAGGAATCAGATCAGCCTTGGCTTGTTTACTACTATAATGATTAGAATTGTAGAACAATGTTGCAAAGTCTAGTCCATTAGTCCTGGAGCAAGTTTGTCTTCCAGGACATTTTTGATTTGTGCCATGTTGGCACAATTTTAAACTATTTAGCTCTGTACCCATCATGCACCAAATGTTCTCTACAGTTTGGCATAATATAGCAACCAATCTCTTCCTTGAAGACATCAGACCTTTTGGCCCCATAGGCAGAGTTATTCTCTCCATACTTTGTTTTTCAGGGGAAATAACCTCAGTTGCATTAGGCACATGTCGTTTCTTAAAGTAAAAAATCATGTGGCTGAGGCATTGTGAAAAATAAATACCAATACAGAACTTACAGAAACAAAACATTAAGAAAGAAGCTAACAGACCATAAAGACAAATTGTGTTGTTCCATTTCATTGTTTCCATTATTGATAAAATATTTTCAAACAACTGTCCTTGTTTTAGGTAGATTTACTGGGGTTGGGAGGTATTTTTTAAATTTTCCTAACTGAAGAAGAGCACACATTCAAAAATACTATCTTTTAACAGAAACCTTATGGAGTTATAAAAGCTTAAGTGATCTCTGCTGGAGTTGGGACAACTGCATAAGATCAGGGGGAAAAATATTCTTCACCATAAAACGATAAACCTCTAATTTATGAAACACAACAAGATGTTGTCACATTTGCTGTGTTAGATTTGCCTTCTATTTTTTCTCTATTAAAGAGATATCTTTACTATGGCAAAAACATTTAAAGCAAATTCTGTAAACAATATTAATTTGTTATCCTGCTAATGTTTTGACCTGTTCCATCTTTTACTTTCTGCATTTGCTGCCTATGCACCCCTGGTTAAATGTGCTGCCTCTTTCTCTGGTATAGCATTTGGAAAATTAGTACTGTGGAATTTAAACCCTCTTGATCAGAATACTCTTATATCAGCTGCATTTTCAGTGTGGATGCCTTGTCATGAAATGCTAGTACTGTAATTTGGATACTAGCTATCACATAACTCATCTGGAAAAGAAAAAGTGTATTTATAGTTTCAACTGCAGTCTCAAAAGGACTAATGAGACTAACACCGGGCACATCTATATGAAACATTTACTGAGCAGTAGACTAATTAGCTGTACAGTAAACGTCTTGGTGTCTACATGTGCATCCCTACTAGGCTGGAATAAAATAACTTACTAGTATTTACAAGTACTATCCTGATGCAAAGTAAAAAACTCTGCAGCAGCACACATGTAAACTCTGGAGAAACTAGCTGCGGCACAAGGGTGCTTTAGCGAGGGGTCTGTCTGCCAGCTAGCCCTACAATGAAGCACCCTCGTGCCCCAGGCAGCTCCTCTGCAGCACATTTTGCTGTGGGGAGCAGCCCTGGGCTAGTAGGCTGAGCCCTGGGGCCCCCTGCCAGTCAGAGCTGCTTTGTCCCAGTTTGGACACACGTGCAGACATGTGGCCAGCAGCAATAAGCTTATTGCTGCACATTAATAGGCATGTGTAGACGTGCCCACCTTCTCAGAAAAATAAGCAGTGTAGTCAAAAGAGTAGCAGTATTCAATGGAGGTGATCTCATGGAGATATAAATCTACTGCACAGAAAAGCAGGAATAATGGAAGAGAAGTACGGCCACAACACACCACCTCACTGTAATTAGTTACCCAGCTTATTCTAACCACCAAGATATGATTGCCACAAGAAACTGCTGCTATGAAGTGAATAGACCATTGATGTGTATTCATAGTCCTTTTTCTGGTACTTGTCCAGATGCTTCAAAAACATACCTGGTGTTAATCTGCCAACAGTTACATAAGGTAGGGAATACCATATTTTCTTACATAAAACACACACCCTTTCTGACAAATCCAGCTGGAGGAAATTGGGGTGGACATTATAGTGAGAAATATGGATCCCCATAGATTTAGAAGTTTTGTAGCAGGGGCAGCAAAAGCCATGGTAATTGATGTTGCCCTTGCTCCCCCATCACCAAATTTACAGACCTATGGAGACTCATTGGCTGGATGACATGGCCCTGCGCACCAGGTATGCCCACTTTTGAGGCTGAACACTGGCCCATTGTTCCCAGACCTTGTGCACAGGTTTGGGCCCAGTGCATGGGCCCAGACCCAGCACATGAGTTTGGACCTGGCATGCAGCCACAGACTTGATGTGTAGCCTCAAACCTGATGCGCTGGATTGGGCTGGCATGGAAGGCTGTAGCCAGACCCAGCACACAGCCTGGAGTGCTGGATCGGGCTGGCATGAGAAGCCAGTTTTCAGCCAGACCTGGCGTGTGACCCCAGTTCCAGCACACAGGGGCAAACAAGGCTCATGGTCCCAGACCCAACATAACAAATCCAGCCACTGCACAGGGTCAGTCTGCAGGCCTAGAGGGCCTAGAGGATAGAAGAGCAGATTTAGCTCCTCTTCCTATCTGGTTACTTACCTGTGCTACAAAGTAAGTATTTTTCTTCAAGTTATATCTCAAAGACAGAATATATATTATATTCCGGGCTATGTTTTATGTGAGAAATATGGGATTATTCTCATAGGGAATTGGGTACAAGGGGCCTGAGTCTCCTCTCACATGTTTTACATCAACTTAAGTCCACTGATTTTAACAGAGTAGCATTTGACTTAGACTAGAAATGGTCAGCTAGACAAAAGGTAGGGCAGGGTGGCAGCCTAGGGCATCTATACACGTCCTCCAGGTGGACAGGGGGGTGGGGGGGCGGGCGGAGGCTGCTTTAATTAAAGCGGCTCTGAGAGCTGTTCTAATTAAAGTGTCTGCAGCATCATGTGTATTCAGTGTCTGGTGATTGAAAATGGCAGCATGGGTTCTTAACTAAAGTTTGTTTGACTAGCTTTAGTTGAAACGCGGGGTTGCTGAATACACGTTACACAGAGGCTGCTGGAGCACACTAATTAGCACACTCCAGCAGACTCACAGCAGACTCTGTGGGTGCTTTAATTAACACACATTAGATCAGAGGTCCATCATGTGTACAGGTTTAGAGAGACATGAGTTTTCACAGGCAATGATCTACTTCATCAGCATCTGACAAAGTAGGTCCTGGCCTATGAAAGCTCATGCTTCTGAGCCAGTTAGTCTCTAAGATGTCACCTGCCCTACCTTCTATATGACATATACTAATAAGCAGAATCAGATCCAAGGAGATTAAAAAACTGGCCTAGGTTACAGAGGATTAGAAGTCAGATCTTCTGATTCCCAGTTCAGTCTTTATAGTAGGACCACTAGTTGAAAACTAACATACTATATGTACTATCAATACATTCTTTGCATAGTCCTAGAAATCTGCTGAGTAAAATCAAGTTTCAGTAAGCAGGGAGGGGTCTTTTAGAATTCATGTATCATGGGATGGCAACATTGAATATTTTTATTGACTTAACATATTATAAAACATGGAATGCAAATATATGTTATGATTGTCTGAGGAAAAAATATATTTTAGTACAATTTACAGTAAATCTTGCAGCTTTACAAGGCCTGATCCTATTTCTATTGAAATCAGGATTGCTTTTCCCATTGCTGCAGTCAGAACAAGATGAGACCTCTAAGAAGTAGTGCTTACCTTAACATTTCTTTTGGGATAAAGGAAGAAAAATGGTTTCAAAACTGGAGACCTGGATATACAAAACAAATAATATATAACTATGTAAATAATAACAAATGAAAAAACTGGGTCATACCTCTTTCAGTTCATTAAGTATTTGGACAATTCAAAAGTACCATAATTAAAAATCAAGGTTAGTAGTAATTTTTTCATCAATTTTGATATAGTTGAATAGTGTAGTCATTCCTTATAACTTCCATACTCATTAAGAAGGTGAAAGTAAAAAAGGGTGGGACAGCCTGAAATAATATCACTGATGTGTTTATGACATCAAGGATAGTCAATCAAATTTTTTATGTCTTCTGCATATCTGCCCAATGCTTTATGGCAAGGGTTGGCAACCTATGGCTCATGGGCTGGATCTGGCCCATGGAGTCATAGCTTCAGCAGCATTCAGTGGCAGGGTCTCTCCCTATGAGACATGCATCTTACAAGAGACAGGCACCTGGGACTCTAACACAGTGGGAGCTCTGCCCATGCCATGCTAGGCAGGCAGCATGGGTTCCAGTGGAGCACAGCTTTCACCATGCTTCCCTGCAGCTGAACAGTGGGTATTAGCAATGGTGGTGGTGGCCTGGTACTAATGCCCGTCAACCTCTGACTCAAGCTGGGTTATTGTGCTCCCCTCCAACCCCTGGAAAATGTTGCTAACTCCTGCTGTATGGTGTTTCATATGCTTAAAGAAAATGTTATGGGCTAATGCATGAGTCTCGTTAGGAAAGTAACAAGCATCATATTAAAAAAAAAACACACTCTCTCTCTTTCTCTCAGAAGTTTTAAATGATATCCCTATCGTTACAGTGATCATCAAAGGTGCTAGTAACAGAGGTAAATAATTTAACTGAATATAAAAGCTTTATTTTGGCTATCCCTTCAACCAAGGGGTTGACAAACTACATCCTGCACAGCTGGGGCACTCCAGTGGCAAGGGACTTCAGCAGTGCCACAGTTGGACAGTAGGAGGTTTTGGCTGTATTGCAGCTGGATGGTTGAGGAGAAGCTGTGGTGGTCATGGGAGTGGCTGGGTCCTAGCACCAACCTACTTCAGATCCAAGCTGGTTCATTCCTGCCTGCCACCAGAAAATATTGCTTACCGCTACTTTAGCCAGTCATATAAGATCAACTGCTTAACTCTTGCTTTTAATTCTCCCCACACTGTGCAGTCACAGAAATAATGCAGTATACTTTTCATAATATTCCTATAGAAACAGTCTTGAAAAACTCTAAAAACATCTTCTGGAAATGTTTTCTTTATACGAATGTACAAACAAACAATTATATGAGACAAGATCTGTGTAAGAAAGGTTGGGCTAAGAGTAAATTGGTATAAACTGGTATCTAGTAAACACTGGTGAGAGTACATTTTTTGAGGCAAATCTAATTCAGCTGGTACATCTGCACTGTTTTGAGGTCTGACTAGCTTTAATTGAGCCATCTTCGGTACTAATAGCAGTGTTGCTATGACAACACAGCCTCTGAAATGGGCCTGACACCTTGGGTACTTACTCAGTGGCTGAAACTTGTGTCAACAGAGCCAATGTACTCAGGTAGTCAACCTGATTTGCAAAGATGTTTCTGTACATGCCACAAACACACTTTCAAGGCCAGTGTAAAATATGTCTTAAACCATATTGAGTGTCAGTTTGAGAGGGGTTTCAAATGTTATTGATTTTTCTCATAACTATTCTCATGAATAAGAATGAAAGTGTGAACATGTACATTTAATAGAAAAAAAGACTTCATCGTTGGTGTCAGAAGCGGACTGGCCAAGTTCGCCGATGACACCAAACTCTGGGGTAAAGCATCCACACCTGAGGACAGGACAGTGATCCAGGCAGATCTTGACAGACTCATGAAGTGGGCGGATGAGAACCTGGTGGTGTTTAACACTGAAAAATGCAAGGTTCTCCACCTTGGGAGGAAAAACCTGCAGCATGCTTATAGGCTCGGTAGTGCTACGCTGGTTAGCACTACAGATGAAAGGGGCTTGGGGGTCATGATTGACCACAAGATGAATATGAGCCATCAATGTGATGCTGCAGCTAGTAAAGCAAGCAAAACGCTGGCTTGCATCCATAGATGCTTCTCAAGCAAATCCCAGGACATCATTCTCCTGTTGTACTTGGCCTTGGTGAGGCTGCAGCTGGACTACTGTGTCCAGTTTTGGGCTCCACAATTAAAAAGGATGTGGAGAAGCTTGAGAGACTGCAAAGGAGAGCCACGCACATGATCAGAGGTCAGGAAAACAGACCTTATGATGAGAGGCTGAGAGCCATGGGACTTTTCAGCCTGGAAAAGCACAGGCTCAGTGGCGATCTGGTCGCCACCTATAAGTTTATCAGGGTGTTCACCAGGATCTGGGGGAATGTCTGTTCACCAGAGAGCCCCAAGGGATAACAAGATCGAATGGTCACAAACTCCGCTGCAACCGATTCAGGCTGGACATAAGGAAGAACTTCTTTACTGTCTGAGCCCCTAAGGTTTGGAATAGACTGCCGCCGGAGGTGGTTCAAGCACCCACTTTCAATGCCTTCGAGACACATTTGGATGTTTATCTTGCTGGGATCCTATGATCCCTGCTGACTTTCTTCCCCTGGGGCAGAGGACTGGACTCAATGATCCTCCGGGGTCCCTTCCAACCCAAATGTCTATGAAATCTAAGAAATCTTTACATATTTTAACAGATTTTAAATATAAAAAATTGTGACCTAAAATAGGTATATTAAGAATTATTCTATTCTAACTTGCTTCACTGTTTTCGTGCTAATGATGCAGTAGAATACACTTTAAGAACAACTTTTTTAAGTACGAGACTTACCTCGCATAAAGGTGACTAGAGTCTCATGGCATGTACAGACATTCACTCTCCCAAGAGAAACTCTCCTGGGAATGATATGACCTTGGTTGTTCCCTGGTTATTTTTCTCCTGAAGCAGTCATTTTTACTCTGAGAGCAAAAACCTGAACATCTATACATGTAGTTTCTCCTAGGAGAGCAACTCCCAGGAGAAACTGAATGTTTATACGAGGCCTCAGTAAAAGTAAATACAGTGCTCCCAAAAACTGGTTAGAGATCTGCTAATTGTGGCAAATATCTTTAGTATAACTGTTCCTTTTTCACCAGTTAGTAGACATAACACAAGATGCTATTGGAATTTTTTTAAATGGTGGAAGGAGCACTATACCCAGACACCGAGACTAGTGAGTAATCAACTTACACACTTGGACGCCCTCCAGCAATTGCAGTGAGACCAGGTGCTAGAAATCAAAAGCAAAACAAAAACAAATTAATTCTAGAGACACTTTTTGCAACAAGTGTAACAGATTTCAACTCAATTTTGTTTTACCCTTAAACCTTCCTGTGCCTATCACTTAGCAAATAGTGGGTAAAGTCTAGAAAAGAATTTGCCTTTTACTAGAAATATTAAATTAAGTATTTTTGAGAGAGAGTTTAAAAGACTGAGATTTTTACCCCCCAAAAAAAAGAAAGAAAAGAAAAAAACAACAACCTGAAATAGGTCTCATATATTCACAAATACAAACTATGGAAAGGATCTTACATGATTTTTAACACCAATCAGATCATTAATTTATAAGAAAAAGACATAATCCTTTGAAAGAGAGATGGCTTTGAACTGAACTGTGGTTTATATATTGCAAATGACTGTTAAACTTTTTTATGAATACAGTTATAAATATAAGAAAAGGATCAGCTCTACAGAAAGCAAATCTATGCTCCTATTTATTAACTACTTCATGCAACCTAACCAAAGAATTATGAGGATGACTGATAATTTGAATATACCAGTTCAGCCACAATTTTGACATGCCAAGTAGCAAAAGTATGCAGTGCTGCTTTGCATTAGACCTTGTAGAAAACTCAGAGAACTGATTTTAGAATTTTGAAGTTACATTGTGCATAACTTTTGTTATTTATTTGTAGAATAATCATGACTGAGAATAGTTTTACTGATCAGTTCTATCTGCAACTGATCAGTAAAGCATGAATAACTAGGGCTATTAAAGATTTGGAAAAAGCAATATAAATGTATTTGTGGCAGGGCACTGTTGGTCCCTGCCACTTTAAGGACTGAGTCAAGTAGCCAACAGGTGCTTGATTGTGGCGGCCATTTTAGATCTCTGGCTGCCTATATAAACAGAACGGTTCACTGCTGGCAGGCCAGGCAGTAACACTGGCTGCATGCAACATCCTGGAGGTAAGGACAGGAGCTTAAGGGAATGGTTTGGAGGCTCCTGGGCATGACTTAAAACTGCACCCTGTTGGGGATGGGTGGCCTAGTGGGGCTCCCAGTCGTGCGGGAGCCTCCAGGAAATGCCATGCCAGTTACCACCCCAGTGAAAGGTGGGTCGGGCTGCCTTAATAACCCCAGCTCCCACAACTGGGTGGGTTACCACATAGAAGGGCCAAGAAGGCGGACCCAAGTTAGAGAGGGAGCTAGAGGTTCATAGACCTGACTTGAAAACCCTCAACTGGTGAATGCTGTGGCCAGGAATGGAAGTGTCAAAAGGGCCAGGGGCCCACCACAAGGGATATCCAGAGCTGAGGACCTGGGGTTTCCAACTGGCCTTGGAGGTGAGGCCAGGGCCTGTGTGGCCAAAGGTTCTGGGGGGACCACACCTGAAAGGGAGAACAGTTTAGGGAGTTAGGCAGCCCATAATGGGGGCAGAATAGGCTGCCTGAGTGAAGGGATCTTTTAGGGGTCTAAACCGGAGGATTCTAGAGCCCAGAGTGGGGCCGGTGACATTAACAACTGTAGATACTATCTGCGAGGCTTAGGCTGCAGCGTAGGGGACCAACTGAGCCATAGATAGCATCTCCTGGCATCAGGGCAAGAAATGGGCAGCCTCCTGCCTAATTAAGATAATTAATTATATATCAAAAAGGCATGGCAAGCAAGAAGCTGGATGGAAACAGGTGGGCTGGCCGTTAGTAGACCAGCCCTGAGAGAGCCTCCTGTTACAGCATTGCTAGACTGATTTAATTGAGATG